TGCCCTTCCGCCGAAGCCGCGCCCCCGGCCGCCCTCCCGCCCTGCCCCGGCCGCCGACGCCGCCTCGTCCGAGAGGTGAGGTTTTTTCATTTTTTTCATTTTGTTTCATTTTCTTTTTGTTTCATTTTTTAGCACTAATGAGTGAATGTCCTTTGCAGATGGAGATGAACAATGAGGAGATTGTCATGTCCGATTCGTCGGATTGGTCGACATCTGACGATTCCGACATTGAGGAGTTGTTGCAAGATGACGACGTCGAGATGATGAGCCTCCTCATCGACGTGCAATCGTTTGAAAACCGCGTGAAGCTGATGGATCAGAGGAGAGGGTCGAAGATGGGCCGAGTCACCATCTACCGGAACCGCGCTCTCGGACACGAACATTTGATGGAAGACTACTTCTCCGAGGTACCTACATACCCTCCTCGTCTCTTCCGCAGAAGGTACCGAATGCGGCGTAGTTTGTTTGTGAAGATTGTCACCGATTGTGAGGCCGCCTCATATTACTTTAAACGTCGTAGATCCGCCGCCGGTATCATGGGGTTTAGTGCATATCAAAAGATATCGGCGGCAATGCGGGTACTCGCTTATGGCATACCCGCAGATTATACCGACGAGTATCTTCGCATTGGGCAAGATACAACCACGGAGTCAGTCCGTAGGTTTGCCAAGTTGGTCATCAAGTTGTACGGTGAGCAGTATCTTCGGGCACCAAACGAGGAAGATACAAAAAGATTAATGGAAATGAATGAAAAAAGGGGATGGCCGGGGATGCTAGGTAGTCTTGACTGCATGCATTGGAGGTGGAAAAATTGCCCAAAGGCATGGCACAGAATGTATTGCGGTAAAAGCCGTGATGCTACCATTGTGCTTGAGGCCGTAGCATCTCAGGACACATGGATTTGGCATGCATTCTTTGGGTTGCCAGGAACACTCAATGATATCAATATCCTCAATAGATCTCCTTTGTTCAAAAGATTAATTTCTGGGGATGCTCCAGCTTGCAACTACAAAATCATGGACAATGAGTACTCAATGGGATACTATCTCACCGATGGCATCTATCCCGAATGGGCAACTCTTGTGAAGTCCATCAAGGAGAAAAATGGGGTGCCCTTAACAAGAAAAGAGGCTCGTTTCACCAAGGCACAAGAGGCAGCCCGCAAAGATATTGAGAGAGCTTTCGGTGTTTTGCAAGCAAGGTTTGTCATAGTTCGTGGTCCAGCTCGGTTTTGGGACAAAAAAACCTTGATGAACATCATGAAATGTTGTGTGATTCTACACAACATGATCCTAGAGGATGAGAGAGGGTTAAACCTCCCTTGTTTCTATGACAATGTTGGTATCCGTGTGCAACCGGAAAGAAACCCTTCTCGCATACACGCTTTTCTTCAAGCACATCGTCAGATTGAGGATGCAACCACTCATGGTCAGCTCCGGGATGATCTAATAGAGCACCACTGGCAGTTGGATGGGCGGCGCATTGGCCCATGATGTATCTTTTTTTTCCTTTTCTATGTCCTATTTGATTCGAACAATTAGTGTTATTTGCTCAAACATTGTTGTAATAATTTGAATGATTATTGTTTTATTCGGTGTTGTAATAATAACTAGAATGATTATTGTTTTATGTCAATTGTGATGGAATTTGTGATATGTCCTATGATGAAATGTGATGAAATGTGTGATATATGAAATGACAGTTTTAAAGGTTGGGGTTGAGGCAAAGACTAGAACCCTCAAATCCAACCCTTAAAGCAGTTTATGGATTGGATTTGAGGGTTCTAGTCTTTACCCCTGTTTTAAAACCCTTAAAAATGTCAAAAACTGGCACTTCTCAACCCTTAAAACTGCTACAAGGGTTTGAGGGTTTGAGGGTTCTACTAGTAATGCTTTTAGTAGGTTGGTTTCGTAGGTGTAGTATTATTGCTGACTCACCCGGGCGGGGCGGCCCGTGTCGGGGTAAAGCACCGGTTTGGGGCTCTGCATCGGGGTGGTCGTATCGAAGCCGTCGAGATGGGAAACCTCAACGTTGGCGAGGAGGGACGGCACCTCGCCGGTCTTGCTGCTTGTGTTGGCTTCCATGGCTCGCTCAGACGAGACCTGCACAGAGCGAGTGTGAGAACCAAGCAAGGAGAGAGTGAGCGCGCTTAAATAACAAACTTTATTTAACTAATTATCTTTTGCTGGAGAGTGAAACAAATCAGGAGTCACCATCCAAACTTTCAAGAGCAAATCAATGTTTTTCTGCAAACTTACTAGTGCCAAACCCAAACTGTCCATGTCCAGCTGGACCAGCAGGCGATCAGCAGATTTGCCTTATATTTTACCTTTTTTTATCTTAATACTTGGATCATTAATGTGTCTTCATGCATACAAGAAAGAAATGAGAAGAAAGTAGTGCATTATCATTATGACTACATGCATTCAAGTACTCCCTCCGTCCCATAATGTAAGACGATTTTTGAAACTAGTGGGACGGAGGGAGTATTAAACAAGTTGGTAGCACAAGAAAATATCATTAATTTTTGTCTCGATTATTGTTAGTGGCCTTGTATAGATGCAAAATGTATTTCTTTTTTTATAGTGGCCTTGTGTAAGGGAATGGAGAGGGTAATTAAATGAAATCGGTAGAGAGCATTTGCCTTGCCTAAAAATCCCAAAGAAAGAGTTGCATCCAAGTTGTTGAGTAACTACTAGACGCTTCTGGGCGTTGTTAGGCTAGGCGGACAGGCATGGAAGTATTCAGAGCATCAGCATCAGAAGCACAAAACCCATCTGATGAAGAGAGAGGAAAGATCTAGGAAGGCAGGCAGGGAACACAAGGTGGTGGACAGATCATGTGCAAGTGCAAGCGACGATTTGTGTTTGGCTTTTAAATAGGCAAATGCGCCGTTCGTATATGATGATGAGTCGATGACTGGCTGGTTCGTTGGCTTGGCACTGGCTCCATCAGTGCGTGACACATCGCGTGGACACATCCTAGCTAGGAGTTGTATGTTTCATCCTCGGGAAAAAAAAGGAGCCGTGTGCGTACTTCTGGCTGGGTACTACGCGTCACCACCTGACAGTTGTGGATGCTACTGAAACAAACAGGTTGTGAGAGCAAGCTGTATACTACTACTAGTACCAGTGAATACTACTCCATGACGCTACACGAGAGCTTCACACAAGCTCTTCTTCACAAGTCTGTTTGTGTTTTTCTACTGACAGATCTTGGCAGCTATCTGAAACGAGGCGCCCAAAGTGTGGTGAGCAGTGCTGCACTTGCACATTTACAGAAGTTTCATCTCACGCGGATGACAAGAGTAACGTGCGTTTGGGGTGGAGGCCTAATTCAAGGAAGTTGGTTATTCCATTTTCCTCATTCTAGCTCCTCCCTGTAATAAGTAGACTCTTTCCATGAATGAATAAAACTTTAAGTGTGGCATTACTGCTGGAGCGTCAGTTTCAGAAGTAAAGGCTCGTCGTTAAGGTAGGTGGATGAAATTTCGTTTAGGTTCCAGTGACCTCTAATCGTACCCGATTCCTCTTGTTTGGAAAAACAAACACGCTCCTGATTGGCGCTGAACAACCCTCCCCCACATCACGCCTGCAGACGTTGTTGAATCATCAGTCGTCGCAAGTTTCACAATCTAAAATAGTCCAGGTGGCAGGAGCAATTCCAGGCCGGGCAAAATGCACGGTGTGAGATAGAAACAGCTGTGCATGCACACTTCAAATCAGAGCCCAGGACGTGAGTAATAAAATCGGGGCCGTCCCCATCGTCATCGTCTTGACAAGGGACTAGCCGTACGTAGAGGACCCGATGGATGGATCGGGCAAGGAAAGGCTTGACATCCTGGAGACAGACATGACAAAGATTAGTCGTCGCCCTCGCCGCATTGAACAGGAGGCAGCTGCGTGCCGCTCTCTGAAATCTGAATTTATTTATTTTTGTGTGTGTCAAATATCTGAAATCTGGAGTAGTACGTATTGACGATGGTCCATCGACGGCACTGGTACATATTTCCATTTGATTTCACAGCTGGGAGGAGATATTGGAGGGAACGCATCGGTCGTTAGCCGTAAGTCCACTTCCGCGGCGGTGGCGTCCGTCCGGTCCGGCCATAGACGAGACGCCGCATGTGTCCCAGGATGACTTGTGCAAGACAAGGAGTTTTTAAATCATAAAATTCAAGTAAAAAACTCGTCTTGTCCTGGCGATGGCTAGATAGGTGTAAGAGCAAGTATAGTAGTACCTAGTCAGCCGGCTGTAGCGTATTCCATGTCAGCAAAATCCTATGTGGAGCAGTGATAAGTGAAGAGAGAGACTCGAGCCGGCGCTTGACGTACCGCCGGGCTATATCACGGTAAACGAGAGTGTACAGCCTGCATGCAGCCCGTGAGTGAGCTTTTAGCCGGCGTTTTACTCCCTACACCAATCATGTGTATTTTCGTGCCTCCCCTCATGGTGAATCTTTTGATGTTGTAGCCAAGCTAATAGCCAGTCTATTATACAGGCTAACTTTTTACAAAGACTTTAGATGACATGGCACAACTATATAGCCAGCAGCAGGCTTTTCTATTAGCTATGCTCTAAAGCTGGTTCCGTAGCATGAGGCTAACCTACTTAGCTAGATCGCTTGGTTTACGCCCTAATCCCTGGCCAGCTAATATTCCTACGACGACGGCGCATGCATGCATACAATTCTTGTCAGCGCATAATAAACAATTCCTCTTGTCCCCGTTTCGAAAAGAAAAAAAGAATTCCTCTTGTCCGAGGTGCGCGGCGGCGTACGTGGTTGGTCATGCAGGTTGATTGCTGATTCATCTATTCGCCACGCCGCCAGGCGCAAACAAAACAAGTGGGGATTGGATGGAGTATTTAACCAAAAACTACCACAATTCACGGAACCGTGACGAAAAATTACCACTTTACGATTTTGTCCCGAAAACTACCACTTTTTTCCTAATCCGTGGCAAAAAACTACCAAGTCGCGAAATCGCTCGCTTGGCCCGTGCTAAGCACAAATCTGACCGCTTGGGCCCACGAACCAGGTGCCACCCTGGCCATCCTTCGCGCCGGAGACGCACCCGCACGCGCGCGCCCGCTCCCACCTCGCCGTCGTCGTGCCCACCAAGCTTTTGGGGCCGGCCACTGCCGCGTGGCCGCCAGCGCCGCGCTGCTGCCCCCGCCCGCGGGCGAGCGCGG